ACTTCTCAAAATCAAAGGTAGTAAGGACATTTTTTAATTTTGTTGCCTACCTCCACTTTCAGCATTCAGAGATTCTGGTTTCTCAAAACCTATACCTAATTTACTATTATGAAATAATATTCCAGGCCAAGATGGGCAGATCACTTGAGGACAGGGATTTGAGACCAGCCTGACCAACATGGCGAAACCCAATCTCTACTAAAAAAATAGAAAAATTAGCCAGGCGTGGTGGCGTGCAACTGTAATCTCACCTACTTAGGAGGCTGAGGCATGAAAATCGCTTGATCCCGGGAGGTGGAGGCTGCAGTGAGCCAAGATCACGCCACCGTACTCCAGTCTGGGTGACAGAGAAAGACTTTGTCTCAAATAAAAACAAAAGACTCTGTCACAAAAAGAAAAGAAAAGAAAAGAAAAATGGAAGGAAGGAAGGAAGGAGGGAAGGAGGGAGAAATAAACACTATTCCCTGTTACTCCAATTCTCTGTGTCCTACCTAGGAGCGGTAAGATGTAGGCAAATGGTGTAACACCTTACCATATCATATTAGACAGAGGAATTTAGTATAAGTCTGGTTCATCCTTAGACTTCATCCAAGGGTATTAATGAAATAATACCAAAGGGCCTTATTTCCAGAAGAGTTAGTTACATTGTAAGACCACAAAGACTGCATTCAGAGTAGTGTAGATGAATCTGAATGTACTACGCAAATTGAAGACTGAGTCACAGCTATGCGACTTTTTCTTCAGACCTGAAAAACCCTAAGGTTAGCGTTCTTCCCAATAAGGGTTGGCAGTAAAATTAAGACTGATGTTCACTTATTGTTACTTTACTGACCCATTCAGGTAACCCACATTTCAAGGGCCTACTATATGTGAAGACTTGGAAGACAGTGCTTAATAAGACATTTCTACTGACATCAAGGGCCTCAGAATATTTCTGAATGATAGACCTGCAAACAATTGCAACACCTAATAAGAATCAGTATAAGAAAGGTAGGATGAATGGGCATGAGATAAGGTGGTTCAGGGAGTCTAGCAAAGCTCCAGAGAAGCAGTAATTATTTACAATGACTGCATAATTAATAATTTTATGCATGACACAGAAGGAGCTCAAGTGAGCTCAGGCTTTCTCTCCCTCTCTCATATTTGGCTATCATCTATCCATACACTCAATGTTTTTTCCAGCATTCTTTCAATGCTTATAGATGGCATGTAGTTGAAATTATACTGCATATTCATCTTGCATGCAGATAAGTAAATCAGTATAAGGTCATAATCATTTTCTCATGTTCTTAAAAATCCTTCAATAATTTCATTTTAAAAATTAGACTTTTAAAGATAATTCTAGATTCATAAGCAACTGTAAGAAATAATACATAGAGGCCAGGCGCAATGGCTCACACTGTAATCCCAGCACTTTGGGAGGGCAAGGCAGGTGGATCACCTTGGGTCAGGAGTTCAAGACCAGCTTGGCCAACATGGCAAAACCCCGTCTCTTCTAAAAATACAAAACATTACCTGGCATGGTGGCGCCTGCCTGTAATTCCAGCTGCTCAGGGGCTGAGGCAGCAGAATTGCTTGAACTCAGGAGGCGGAGGCTGCAGTGAGCCGAGATCCTGCCACTGCACTCCATCCTGGGTGACAGAGCAAGACTCCATCTCAAGAAAAAATAAAATAATAATGCAGAGAGATCCTGTATACCTTTTACCAAGTTTCCCCCAATGGTAACATCTTGCAAAACTATAGTACAATGTCACAAGCAAAATATTGGCATTGATAGGATCAAGACACAGAACAGTTCCATCACTACAAGGAGTGCCATTTTTAATAACTGATATGTTTTATCCATTTCATGGATTTACAAATAAAAATCCATTATGGATAATGGATTTATGGATATCCATTTATGGATGTATCAGAATTTATTATCCTGCTATTGTTTGACATATGGGTTGCTTCCAATTTGGGGCTATAATTAATAATGTTTTGAATATAAACCTTTGTCAAAAAATCTCTGATTATTTCTGTAGGAGAGATCCTCAAGTCAAGGGGTATGTACATTTTAAGGTTCACAATTTGTTGAAAAGACTATTTTTTCTCCATTGAATTGTCTTGGCACCATGGTAAAAATAATTTACCTTAGATGCAAGGGTTTTCTCTGGACTCACAATTCTATTCTATTGATCTATAAGTCTATCCTTATATTAGTATCACATTGATTTGATTATTGTAGCTTTGTAGTAAGGTTTGAGATCAGGACATATGAGTCCTCTGTTTTTTTTTTTCAAGATGTTTTTTGCTATTCCTGATCCCTTGAAGGATATTATTTATTTATTTATTTATTTATTTATTTTGGTTACCTGATTTTTTTGTAAATAACCTCCCATTTGTGATTTAGTTTTTGTTTATGTTTTTAATTACACAGACGTTTAAAATTTTTCCTCTTTGATTTTTATACTTTTTACATACTTAGAAAACATTCTTTTATATTGTTAAGTTTCTAATAGCTTTCTAAATCTAAAGTTATTTTTCCATTTTTTTCCTTCTTTTAAAAAAAATGGAGTTACAAAAATAACAATTGCTCACTATAAAAAATTTCACATAATTACAAAAAACATGAGATTTCCCCAGTGCTTTCCAATTTCACTTTACAGAGATCAACACTGTTAGCAGTGTTTCCCAATTATTTTCTATGCCCATATACATGTATAGTGTTTAAAATAAGGGATCAGGCTGGGCGCAGTGGCTCACGCCTGCAATCCCAGCACTTTGGGAGGCCAAGGCAGGTAGGTCACCTGAGGTTAGGAGTTCGAGACCAGCCTGTCCATTGTGGTAAAACCCCATCTCTATTGCGCCTATAGTCCCAGCCACTTGGGAGGCTGAGGCAGGAGAATTGCTTGAACCCAGGAGGTGGAGGTTGCAGTGAGCCAAGATCACACCACTGCACTTCAGCCTGGGAGGCGGAGTGACATTCCATCTAAAAAAAAAATGGGGGGATCAAACTATAAATATTGTTTTGCACCTTGCTTTTTTACACTTGACAATATATCAGGGCATCTGTCTATATATAGATCGATCTCATATTTCTTAATTATGCTATGGAAAGTCTTTCCCATTGTAACATTATAAAAATGTCTTCCCTAGGTTGTTATTTAGTACTTTTACAGACTGCCACTCATTTTTGTCTTATTTATTCTTAACTTATTTTACAACAACTGTCACATTGTAGAATTCTTAATGTCATCCTATCCATAGCAGTGAGGAGGTTTTAAATGTTTGCTCCTCTAGCCTCTGCACATATTCAAGAGAGGGGCTGGCAAACATGCTGCCTGGTTGACTTAACACATTCACATAAAAATATAGAAATCGGCTACCAGGAGTTGCAAAAGCAAGGCTAGGGGAAGAGGTGTGTGCGTGTAGTGGGGACGTGTGTGTGTGTTCCTCCCCTACTCACTCTGCCTTTTGCACTTGCCTATCCGTGCCCCACCCCCACTTTCCTCTGGTATAAATTGGTGATTCCTCATAAGAGATCTAATTGGAATGATTGGCCTATATAATATCAGTCCACTCTCCTGCCAGAAAATCTTGAAATGGATAAGTATTAAAGAAAAAGTGGCATGTGGCATTTGCAATTCCCATCAGAACTTCTAAGCATTAGAGCAAAATTGGGGCAAATTCCTGTGGCATTAGCTGGGCCTCAGACACATATTTTTTAAATGCTAACACCCCTGGCCTCTCCTCAGCCAGCTACTGCTTCACAGGCCCGGCTCCCTCAGGTCCTGCATACTCCTTTTCTTACAGGCACTGCAGAGCAACATCTTCCCTCCGCCCAGTTCCTGAGGGCTTTGGGTTCAGGGCCAGGAAGGAGCTCTAGCTCCTTTGTTTTCCATTTGGCTTCTTAAAGGTGTTGCCTCCCCAACCTCCCTGCCCCCCCACCCTGGCCCCCTGACCCCAACATATCCCATGTGTGATATTCCTCTCCCTGTGCCCATGTGTTCTTATTGTTCAACACCCACCTATGAGTGAGAACATGCAGTGTTTGGTGTTTTGTTCTTGTGTCAGTTTGCTGAGAATGATGGTTTACAGATTAATCCATGTCCCTACAAAGGACATGAACTCATCGTTTTTGATGGCTGCATAGTATTCCATGGTGTATATGGGCCACATTTTCTTTATCCAGTCTATCATTGACGGGCATTTGGGTTGGTTTCAAGTCTTTGCTATTGTAAACAGTGCCTCAATGAACATTCGTGTGCATGTGTCTTTGTAATAGAATGATTTATAGTCCTTTGGGTATATACCCAGTAATGGGATTGCTGGGTCAAATGGAATTTCTACTTCTAGGTCCTTGAGGAATCGCCACAATGTCTTCCACAATGGTTGCACTAATTTACACTCCCACCAACAGTGTAAAAGCATTCCTATTTCTCCACATCCTCTCAGCATCTGTTGTCTCCAGATTTTTTAATGATGGCCATTCTAACTGGTGTGAGAAGGTATCTCAATGCGGTTTTGATTTGCATTTCTCTAATGACCAGTGATGATGAGCATTTTTTCATATGTTTGTTGGCCTCACGTATGTCTTCTTTTGTAAAGTGTCTGTTCATATCCTTTGCCCACTTTTGAATAGGTTGTTTTTTTTTTTTTCTTGTAAATCTGCTTTAGTTCTTTGTAGATTCTGGATAATAGCCCTTTGTCTAATGGGTAGATTGCAAAAATTTTTTCGCATTCTGTTGGTTGCCGGTTCACTCTAATGATTGTTTCTTTTGCTGTCCAGAAGCTCTTAAGTTTAATTAGATCTCATTTGTCTATTTTGGCTTTTGTTGCCATTGCTTTTGGTGTTTTAGTCATGAAGTCCTTGTGGAGGGATAACACTGGGAAAAATGGCTGATGTAGGTGACGGAGGGATGGAGACAGCAAACCACCATGGCATATGTGTACCTATGCAACAATCCTACAAGATCTGCACATGTACCCCAGGACTTAAAGTACAATTTAAAAAAAAAAAAAGCATTGCCTCCTCTTGCCTTTCCTTTTTCTCGTGTCCTCTCTAAAGCGTGTCAAGTCTCTCATACCTATGGCAGATGGCAGCTCAGGTGTCTATACGGGGGGTTGGCATTTGAAAATTTGGGACCTGGAGGGCGTGAGATTTGGCATATCCAAGGACTGAGATCAGAATATGTCTCTGTGTTCGTTTGCATCGTTGGAGGACATATTTCGGCTTCAGCACAGGGCCTTTCAGACTATTCAGGGCTTGTACTCTCTTGGGGTAAAGACAGCAGCTTTGACAGGGCCACCTTCATGTGCTTGCACCGAGCAACTCCCTTGTGCCACCAAGTCTTGCGTGAGTTGCCATGGGAGTACGAGGCTGTGCCATCTCCTTCCACCGCGTGCTAGCCTAGGCTGGCCTTTCATCCCTTGAAGATAGGCATCTCTGCAGAAATTCTTCCTTTTGGATTTTTGCGTCCCTCCTTGGAGTCCCCTCGCTTCCTTTTATCCTCTGGTGGCTAGGCGGGGGCGTGGGTGCGCGCACCCAGGAAGAGTTGCCCTCGCAGCGGTGGTGGCCAGAGCGCTCCGCCGGAGCCCCAAACTCATAACAAGTTCTTGGACTGGTAGCGCGGAGCTCTCAGGCCTCTACGCCTCTATCCCTATTTGGAGGGGTCCGGAGGGCTGGCGGCCGTAACGCGGCTGGGTTGAGCGGGGCCACGGGCTGCACCCCTCCGGCAGTGCCTGAGCGCGCAGCGGCGGCGCGCGGATCGGAGCTGGGCAGCTACTGGCTGGGGTAGCGGCCCTTCCCGGGACTCCAGCGTGAAGATGGCAGCAGCAGAGCCCCGGCCCCACCTGTGTTCGCCACGGCGGGCGGCCAGGCACATGCCCCAAGCTGCCGCTTCGGCGCCTTGGACCCCCTCGTCCCGGATCCCGGGCCTGCCCCAGAACCCAGGTGGCTGCACTTTCATGCCGATAGCTCAGGCGATCCCTCTGCAGGTGGACATGGCCATGGCCCTGCAGCGCGTGAGGATTGCTGAGGAGTACGGGAAGAACTACCTCTGCCTCCTGCAAGCAGTCTTCGTGGCAGGTAAGTCCCTTTCTCGCATCTCCTCCCCAGCGGCCTCGGGTTCCAACCTAGCTCGCTTGCCCTTCTCCTCACCCACTGCCTCCCCCGGCGAGCACACTAGTTTCCAGTCCACACTCCCCACGCGCGCACACACACTTTCCTACTGCAGTGGCGCTCCCAACTGCGAACTTGCTGGGTCATCCGTTCCCTTTTCCTCTGGCCAGCTGCCGCTCTGCAGGCGTGCAGCTCTGGTCCGCTTGGGCACCCCAGGAGGACCGTGGGAAACTGCAGGAAGCGGTATGAGAATGTCTCTGCCATTGCTGGTTCAGAGGATAACTCTTCTCATCCACTTCAGTGAGAACCCAACCTCACTAAGGAGTACACTTCCCTTGTAATATTCCCTGAAGTTGAAAAAGCAATTTTTGTTTGTTTTTGTTTTTCCCACAACGAAATCAAGTCAAAAAGGCACTCGGGTTCTGGAACCAGCAGCAGGGCCGCAGCAGGGCAGGTGGAGGAGGAGTTGTAGGGAAACAACTGCTGCCACTGACTTGAGCTTTTCACCTAGACAAGCGCATCTTTCTTTTCATCTTGGTCCACGAGCTTCTTGCTTCCCTATAAAGGCAGGAGCTCTTGGACAAACGAAAACAAAGTCAAGTAACTCACAAAGCCTTTACTGCCACTGCCAGGTTCGATTAAGGGGAGCAAATGGTGTAACATGGACTTGATCACTTGCCAGTCATGCTACACTCACATTTAGCAAGCTGAAGTTGCCCAGCCTTGGGGTTGATATAACAGGGTGGGTGCTGCAGGCTGTGGGGCTGCGTTCCTATGAGGCCATTCTGACTGGGGCACGGGGGCAGCCTCAGAACAGGGTGCAACTCTGGGACCTGAAGTCCAGCCAGCGCTTTTCAGACAAGTCTACAAGGTGCTGCAATTGATGTGCGTGCCTTCCTTTGCTCCCAAGATAGTTTTGACTTACTAGGTTCTAAGCCTTGCAGTGGAAGTTTTGGTATTCAAAAAATAGACTTGGTGGCAATTTCCCGCAAATCAGATAGCCACAACACATGTTCCAAATATACCTCCCTATTTAGTGCTATCCACAAATCTAAAGGAGGCCATGCAAACATCTTCAGTTAGGCCAATGGAATTAATTCAAGGCTGTGGTCTATGCATCTTCATAACACAGAACTCTTTGGTCTTGCTTGTTTTGTTTTGAGCTGGTCAGTATTATTTTCTATATGTTATAAATCATTAAGGGGAATGTGGTGATGAGGCACAGACTCCTTCAGGTCTTAAGAGCAATTTAAATAGTTTTTGGAGACTACAAAAAAAAATCTGGTTGAAACATTCCATGGAGTACAGTGGAAAGTACTTTGTGTCTTGTTCTCATTTACCTTCTGCATCGTCCTGGGAGCTAAAAAAAAAAAAAATCTTCTTTGGAGGAATGCATGCTTAATCACAAGGGATAAATTAGTTATGCTGTGAAATGTAAGTTGACATTTCTACTGCTAGTGATTGCTCTTCTTTCTAGAGTTGTGTGATGTTTCATCTGTTTATACTGTTGAAGGCTCCTGCATGTTGACAGGCCCCCATTCCTATGGCATCACAATGCATCATAACACCTAAATGACACCAGTTGCTGTGCTGTGTTTCTTACCTGGGCTTGCAGTACTTTTGTACCTGTTAAGCATTTGTCCTGGAAGGAATTTGTAGCCATGTGATTAGAGTACACACTACAGTACAAAAATTTTAAATGTAAAATGGATTTCATATACTTGGAAGCTATTTATATAATAAAATACATTTACAAAGCTTTTCACTGTGGTTAATAACTTCCTGAACAATCATGTCAACAATGACCATTTATGGATTGCTCAGGCCCAGAAATTATGCTGCAGTGTAATAAACTAATTACATGTGTGTGTGTAGAATCTGCCCTGGGGCAGCCCGAAGAGGAAATGATTGGCTTCACTTAGGGAGTTAGGGGAAGACTTGGAGAGAGTGATGCATGAGCTGAATTTTGAGAGATGCATACAAGTGTCCGGGTAGACAGCGGATGGGGATTGAATGTGGTAGGGATAGGTGGGGTGAATGGTATTCCAGGCAAGGAAATAAGATGTGCAAAGACAAGCAGAAAGAGGAGAGCAGAGTAAGTTTGGGAAATTGTGAATACCTTTTAAATGATTGGAGTGTAAATATGGGGGGTAAAGGACAGAGAGAAATTCGGAGAGGTAGGCAGGGGCTTCATCAGGCAGTGCCTTATAAAGCATGTTGAATGGTTTTACTTTATTTCCAGAGCAATTGGGAGCCATTGGAGTGTTGTAAGCAGCGCAATAGAGAAGGCTGCTGCATATGGTTGTACGGGTCGTGTACCGCAAAACCGCTAGGGTCTCCACTGACACAGACCACATCAGGAATGACGCCCTCACTAGGGCTGTAGAGTGCACAGTATGCACAGTGATCAACAGCAGCTATGAATGGTGGAATTTTTGCTTTCACTAAGATCATTCAAGCTGTTGTGTGGAGGATTCAGTGTGTGGTTTATGCAGTGGAGAGGAAGAAGATTGGAGATAAAGTGACTAGTTAGAACACAGCTGAAGTAAGCTGGGTATGAGTAGTTAGAGGCATGCACTTTCACATCTGGGGATGGGGAGAAGGGGAGAAGCCTGAGAGGAATTGAGAAGGTAGAATTCATTTGATTTGGTGACTAGTCGTGGTGTTTGAAGGACAGGAAGGAGACTAGGTTAATTTCAGGTTTCTAGTTAGGGTGACTGAATAGAAAGAAACACCATGAACACAGGGAATGGAAGAGGAAGAGGTAGTTTGATTGTCAATTTTGGGTATGCGGTTTCTGTGAAACATTCAGGTAGAGCTGACAAACAGGTCTGGAGCTGGGAAGAAGTAAATGTTATTTATTACTCTCATCTATAGGGTTCCTTAAACATCTCATGGCACTGAAGTTCCTTCCTTAAATCTACTTCTCTATGGGCTATATTGATAACTCAGCAAGTCTAGTGCAGAAGCAGGCACATATTTATTATAAAATTACCTTTCAGACTTGTTCTTTATATTTTCCCTCACACATTTCTTTACCTGATGATGAAAAAAGTGAAAAATAGAAATGTTTTATATTCATCGCAGGAGGAAAGAATGTAAGCCATACTGATAATATAATCTCAGGTAACTTACATAAGCAGTTGTGAAAACCTGTTCACTGCAAATTTTACTCATCAGAGTATAGCTCAGGGAGATGTGTAAATCACAACAAAATTTATTCAATGTGCATTCCAGTATGGTATGAAGATGTATTTCAATGATGATGGGTCATCTATTAGGCCACACTATACTGTGAGTGTTCCACGTAACTGATTTTTCCGGGTAACTGAGGTTCGGCACTTTTAGTGCCTGATTATTTTCCCCCCTTGAAATCTTTATCCATTTTGGATGAAAAGCTTTGCAAAAATACTATTTATTTTTGACTTCCTGACTCCTGAACTTGGAAACAATTGCATCCTTTCTTGATGAGTTAAGATTGTCCTTATAATAGCATTAGTTATTTCAATGTGCCTATTCAGTGCTGCCTCGGGGCTTCTAAACTGTGGAGAGCTGTTTGTTCCCATACTACTAAATGGGCTCAGATTGTTCTACTTTTTAATTTTCAATGTCTGACTTTTTTTGCTTTAACATTTCTATAGATTCCCTCTCTATTAGCTGTTATTTTTTGCTGCTGTTAATTTAACTGTTTCTACCAGCCAGTTTTTATTGCCTAATTCTCCATGCCCCCTCCTCCATTCCCCTTTTGAATGTTATGAACTAGGAAACAAGATAAACAAGCTTGTTCAAACTGTGTGAAAAGTATAATAGACCATAAGTAGGCCTGTGGGGAGTCTACTTCAACTAACGTATGTGAGCTTTAGTACATGGACTCTATGATATCTATTCCAATTGCAAAAAACCTTTTCTTTCTTTCTAGTTCTGTTTGTGTTTGGAGGGTCGATGCAGTGAAATAAATTATCAGTAAAATCTATGTTCTCCTGCTAATTGAGGTATTATAACATGTGAAATTGTAATATTTTACTTCCTTGTAAAACAATTTGTTCAGAATCTATCAGCAAATCCACATGCATTTTATCTGCTGCATTTCTGACATGCCTGTGCTTGGCACCAGAAGGCACTTTATTCTTAAAATTTGCCCCCAGGTTTGAAAGCAAATGCCTCTGTCTCTGCTCAGCATCTTCTTAAGCAAGCACCCTCTGAAGGCACAATAAACAACTTGCACCTTTCCTGCTCTAGGGCAGAAGCAGAGGCGAATCCCATGAGGAGAGATACCTTCTATCTGATGGCTGACAAGGCCAGTGCCTCTTTCTATAACTGCAAGGTCTTGTTCTAGAGACAGTTAGCTCCGGGCCGAGACAAGTGTCACAGAAGTTCCATTTATTTTTTCACCCAAACCTTCCTCTGATTGTATGTTTATGGCAGATGTAAGAATCTGAGTGAACTCTTGTTACTTCCAGCTCTGGGAAGATGCCATTGAGCAAAATCCTGAAGGAGGTAGGAAGTGAGCCCTCAGAGGTAACTGGGGGAGAGTGTTTCAGGAAGAGGGGGCAGTCAGTGGAAAGGCCTTGAGACATGAGCATACTGACAAGTTCAAGGAACAAGAAAAGGACCAGTATGGCTGAAGCAGAGTGAGTGTTTGGGTGTGTGTGTGTGTGTATGTGTGCGCGTTTATGTGTGTATGTGTGCGCATATGTGCACGCATGAGATGAAACCATAGATATAACAAGGTCTGGATCACATAGGTCTTGGTAAGAATTTAGGCTTTTACCCTGAGTCAGATGATGAGCCTTTGGAAGATTTTAAGCAAAGGAGTCACTTCTGTGTTAACAGGATCCCCCTGGATGCTGTGTAGATAATAGGATTAAGGTCGGACAAAGATGGAAGCAGTGAAACGAATTAAGAGGCTGTTAGGGTTAATGATGGCAACTTGAACCAGAGAGGTAATTGTGGAGGTGGTATGCAGTGATCAAATAGATTCTGGATATATATTGAAGACAGAGTCAGAAGGATTTGCTAATGGTTTGGATACAGAGTATGAGAGAAAGAGGAGTTAAGAATAATGCTAAGATTTTTGGCCTTAGCAAGTGGATGGCAGAAATTTTCATCAGTGGAGATGGAGATGCCTGCAGGAGGAGTAGGTTTGGTTGTTTGAGGCTTGTCAACCTTCCTTTCTTTTTTTTTTTTTTGGAGGCGAAGTCTCATTCTATCACCCAAGCTGGAGTGCAGTGGCTCGATCTCAGCTTCCTGCAAGCTCCGCCTCCCAGGCTCAGATGATTCTCTCACTTTAGCCTCCCAAGTAGCTGGGATTACAGGTGTGTGCCACCACACCCAGCTAATTTTTGTATTTTTAATATAGAATCATGTCATCTACAAACAGGGATAATTTGACCTCCTCTCTTCCTATTTGGATGTCCTTTATTTTTTTCTCTTGCCTGATTGCTCTGGCCAGGACTTCTAATACTATGTTGAATAAGAGTGGTGAAGGGGCATCTTTGTTTTGTGCCAGTTTTCAAGAGGAATGCTTCCAGCTTTTGCCCATTCAGTATGATGTTGGCTGTGGGTTTGTCAGATGGCTCTTATTATTTTGAGGTATGTTCCTTCAATACCTAGCTTATTGAGAGTTTTTTTTTTTTTTTAACATGAAGGGGTGTTGAATTTTATCAAAAGCTTTCTCTACATCTATTGAGATAATCAAGTAATTTTTGTTTTTAGTTCCATTTAGGTGATGAATCACATTTATGATTTGCATGTCTTGAACAAACCTTGCATCCCAGAGTTAAAGCCTACTTCATCGTGGTGGATTAGCTTTGTTGGGTATTTTTGCATTTTTGTTTATCAAGAATATTGACCTAAAGTTTTAAAATTGTGTCTCTGTCAGGTTATGTTGTAAGGACGATGCTTGCCTCATAAAATGAGTTAGGGAGGAGTCCATTTTGGAGGAGTCTTTAGGGTTTTCTAGGTATATGATCATGTCATCAGCAAACAAGATAATGTGACTTCCTCTTTTCCAATTTGGATGCCTTCTATTTCTTTGTCTTGTTTTATTGCTTTGGGTAGGGTTTCTAGTACTATGTTGAATAGGAGTGGTAAGAGTGAACATCCTTGTTTTGTTCTAGTTCTTAGGGGCAATGTTGTCAACTTTTCCTCATTCAGTATCATCTTGGCTGTGTGTTTGTCATATATGAGAGACTATTTTTAAAAATAGCTTTTGTAGATCTATAATTCACGTACAATTAACCCACTTAAAGTATGCAATTCAGTGCTTTTTAGTATAATCACAGAGTTGTGCAACCATTACCACAATCTAGGTTTAAAATATTCCCATCACCCCAAAAAGAAACCCCATACTTGTTAGCAGTCACTCTCCATTTTCTCCCAACCACCTTTCTTCTCAGGCCCTGGAAGCCACTAATCTACTTTCTATTTCTATAGCTGTGCCTATTCTGGATATTTCATATAAATAGAATCATACAATATGTGATCTCTTGTGACTGGCTTCTTTCACTGAACATAATGTTTTCAATGTCCATTCACATTGTTGCATGTGTTGTTACATCATTCTTGAAATGGCTGAATCTTATTGCAGTGCATAGATATGCCATATTCTAATTATCAAATTAAAATGATGGACATTTGTGTGATTTCCACCTTTTGGCTATTATTAATAATGTTGTTATGGACACTTTTATACAAGTTTTTGTGTGGACACATGTTTTCATTTTCCTGTGGTATGTATCTAGGTGTGGAAATTGCTAGGTCCTAGAGTAACTGTATGTTTCATCATTAAGGAAACCCTAGATTGTTTTTCAAAGCAGCTGCATCCTTTTACATTCCCACCATCAACATATGAGGGTTATAATTTCTCTACATTCTTCTTAGTACTTGTTAATCTCTCTTTATTTCCCAGCCATCCTAGTGGGTGTGAAATAGTTTCTTATTGTAGTTTTGATTCGCATTTCCTGAATGACTAGTGATGTTGAGCACCCTTTCATGTGCTTATTGGCCATTTGTATATCTTCTTTGAATAAATGTCTACACAGATTCTTTGCCTGATTTAAGATTGGGCTTTTCCTCTTTTGCTTTTGAGTTGTAAGAGTTCTATATATACTTTGCATTGGAGATCTTTATCAGATATTTAATTTGCAAATTTTTTCTCCCATTCTGTGGGTTGTCATTTTACTTACTTCAGGGTTTCCTTGAAGTGCAAATATTTTTCACATCGAGAAGATCGAATGTATCTATTTTTTCTTTTATCGCTTGTACTTTGGATGTCAAATATAAGAAAACATTGCCTAATCCAAGGTCATAATGAATTACAACTATGTGTTTGTCTAAGAGATTTATTGTTTTACTTCTTATACTTAGGTCTTTGATCCATTTTGAGTTGATTTTTGTGTATAGTGTGAGGCAAAGATTCAGCTTCGTTCTTTTGCATATGCATATCCAGGTTTCCCAACATCATTTATTGAAAAGAATATCCTTTCCCCATTGGAATGTCTTGGTGCCCTGGCTGAAAACAAGTTAACCTTAGGCATAAAGATCTATTTATGGACTTTCAGTTATTTTCCACTAATGTATCTGTTAAGTCTATCACAATACCTATCTTTATTACTGTAGCTTTGCAGTAATTTTGAAATCAGAACATATAAACTTTCCAAATTTGTTTTTCTTTTTCAAGATTGCTTTGGCTATTCCAGGTCCCTTGCATATCCATATGAATTTTAAGACTAGCTTGAAAATGTCTGTGCAAAAAGCCATCTGGGATGGCTTTTTTTGGTTGCTAGGGATGGCATTGAATCTGTAGATCAATTTAGGAAGTACCTTAACCTCATTTTTATAGTTGCACAAATTGAGTTTTCCCCAGCTATGGGCCATTCACATTTTAAATATTTGGAATTATTTACTATAATGGATATCGGCATTCTGCTCTTCAATGCTCATATTGGATAGTTATTCATCTCTAGTTTGTCATGAATTTACCAAGTGTGTGGCTGGGCACGGTGGCTCTCGCCTGTAAATCCAGCACTTTTGGAGGCCTAGGTGGGAGGATTGCTTGAGCCCAAGATTTTGAGACCAGCCTGGACAACATAGTGAGACCTCATATCTACAAAATATATTATTAAAAATTAGCTCAGTGTTGTGGCACACTACTCAGGAAGGTGAGGTGGGAGGATCACTTGAGCCCAGGATGTCAAGGCTGCAGTGAGCTGTGATCGTACCACTGCACTCCAGCATGGGTAACAGAGTGAGACCCTGTCTCAAAAAAAGAAAGTTTGCAATGTATTAATTCATTCCTAGTATGAGAATTGTTCTAGAGACTGTGCTGAAGTCTTAAGAGGCAAGAAGGTATCAACCTGATCTCTCCCAAGGGAAAACAATAATACAAATGAAAACAACAACAACAATATGACTAACTCAGTTGCCTTTGTGTTTGTGATTCAGCATTTGGCAGGCAAGTCTGTGTAGGACTGGGGTGGGATAACAGAAGAAATGGGAGGCCTGTATTTGGATACCACGCTGACCAGGAATCAGCAAAGGCCTTTTCATGCTGGACCAGATGATTTGTCAATCAGTTGTGTAGTTATCCTCCCCATGGCAGGAGATTTTTTTTTTTAGGAAAATAGATTGCAGTGGCTTGATAAGTGGACTTGGACCAGATCTACAGTGGATTTGCTGATGCTTTAAGCAGGAAAAATATTTACATCTTTCTATTTTTACATATTGTAAATCACCACATATGTAGTTCTTTACAGACTGAGTCAGTTCCTCTCAAAATTTACCTACATGTTTTGGATTTCTGAATAATGAATTCATTCAGCTGTGATTATTAGGCAGGTTCCCAAGACAATGTCAGCTCCTGCTGCTGTACAGGGAAAACCTGCCATCTCCACTGAGTGGTATTTAATCTGAAGGAAGGCTGAAGGAAAAGGTTTCCACAGACATGCTCTTAATTAAACACCTACACCAGATATAGTCAAGGGGCAGCAACCTGGGACACTAAGCTCATGAATGGAGGTCTTCTCACTGTCACTACCCAGCAGCTATTTCTCATTTTTCCTCATGCATTTTTCCTGGCTTCTCTCTTTCATCCCTCTCTTTTCTCAGCTCTTCCTCTTATTTCTCTTTTCTTACTCCTGTCCTTTCCGAGTGCCATTGAGCTTCCCTGTTTTTGTTTTCTGTTTTTGGTAGGAAAGTATCTTTTATTCCCTCATCTTCTCATTCTTATAATTAAATTATTTATATGTGATCTTTGTAAAACATCTAAACAAAACAAATGCCTATAAACTAATAAGTGAGAATATCCTTGTGCCTAGCCCAGTCCTACTCCCTAGAGGTAAACACTGCTAACAGTTTGTGTGGAGGACATACGAAGTTTTCTATGACTGTAGATATATCAATTCAATTCAAACATTTATTGATCACCTTCAGTGTGGTAGACACTATTGGGATATTCTGGTGAACAAATAAATAAATCTCTGCCTCAGGGAACTTATTCCTAACTGAAGAGAGCAACAATAAAAAAACCCACATATGTCTAGATATTTACCAAACTGGGATCATACTCCATATGTTGATCTAAGACTTGTATTGGAGTGTATTTAAAAATTATTTCATTATGAAAATTTTGATACACATAAAAGAATAAAAGAGAAAAAGTAGACTGGGTGTGGTAGCTCACGTCTGTAATCCCAGCACTTTGGGAGGCTGAGGCGGGTGGATCACAAGGTCAGTAGTTCAAGAATAGCCTGACCAAACTGGTGAAATCCCATCTCTAAAAATAAAAAAATAAAAACAAGTTTAAAAATTAAAAAATTTAAAAAGAGGAAAAGTAAAGTATATAATATAAAATCATGATGCTAAGATATTTTAAAAATTTCCTTTCATGGTGCACAAAGAGGCTACTGTATCTTTTCACCATAAAGCATTTGCCCTGTCTTAGTGGGCTTATAGGAGACCCTGTAGATGCTACTGGAATATGAATTTTGTGTAACTTTGTGGCTGGAGTGTGTGGTAGAGGTTGAGCTTTGAGCTGCCCTTTCATAAATACCTTGGATATGTCAGCATCAGCTGCTGCTATCAGCCAGGAGTATTCTTTACATTCAAGGATACTCAAGAGTTCTCTTGTCATCAAGTCTTCATTTGTACCCTTGTACCATTGTTAAGTGGAAGCATTAGCTGTTGCGTATACACTGTGATGACAAGAATAACCTTCGAGAGTTTTTTTAAATAATATTTTCTCTATTTTAACTGACATTGTGTGATTAGACATATGTATTATTAGACTCTGATGGCAATTAGAAGGAATATGCATATTTGGGGACATATTTGAGTTTACAATTGCAGGCCAGATCATGGGATTAGTCATAGAGCAAAAAGCAGTGGCCCTGTTTTAATTTGTAATTTTGCACTTGTCAGTTTACAAAAGAGAGTCAGTTTTGCTTTCTTCATTAACATATTCAAAGGACCATTAACAGATATTGTGTTTTCTTCTGCATGCATTATAAACTAAAGTAAGTCATTTTAATTGGATTTACCATTGCAGATTCTGTACATTTCAAAATTAGATTTTATGAACCCAAGAAGAGATGGATAGCCACTGAATAGGAGATCTGGCATTTAGTCATGTCTACATGGATATTGTGAGTTCTGATGTTAGTGGGTCATCTTGTCTATTTTTGTAGCTTGTGCTTTAAATAGCTACTCTCAAAAGATCTGATGCCGTAATAAAAAATTAAATAGGAATTAATGTAAATATTTATCTATTGCTAAGATAGTATGTTTAGAAATATTTAGTGGTGGCTGTGGCTATAATGGTCAGGGAGTATTGTTTCTTTAAGCTCATGTTCAAACATGCCCCTACTCATTTACACTGCAGGTACTGAATGGTGATGATTTGGATGAATAAAATAATGCCCTTTCACATGCCTTTACCCCACATTTCTATTGTTAAGGAATACTCTGGAATATTCAAAATGTGGGATGAAGAGATTTCTTTTTAACCGTGTTTTACAAATCATCCAAGGAAGTTAATTCTCAGAGGCAGTTATTTTCATGACACTCTACAAAAAAATAACACACACACACACACACACACACACACGCACAGAGACAATTAGCCAGACGTGGTGGCGCTTACCTATAGTCCTAGCTACTTAGGAGGCTTAGATGGCAGGATCGCTTGATCCCAGGAGTTTAAGGCTGCAAGAAGCTATGACTGCACCACTGCACTTCAGATTGGGTGGCAGAGAGAGACCTTTAAAAATAAATTAAAATTATAAAAAATAAATAAATGGAGAGTAAAGTTGTAAAACCCTCCATTTTAATTATAACAATATTTTCATGTCTGTGCACTATATGAACACACATATATGTTTAAATGTTGATGTTTACAAAAGTTACAGAAATGAATACCTTCCCTTTATTTGCAGCACACACAAACATGCCTGGTCTATGAAAAAATGAGGGAGCTCACTATCGTCCTTGGAAAATATACTTAAGATAATATTGTAAGCTTAATATAATATTGAGTCAGGACCTGAAAATTTGATATAGTGGTTCATCTAAAAGCACCTGAAGTTGTGACTCAATGTTATGTGCTGAAAGCATCCCAGGAGGTACTTGGCATAGGTTAAATATAAAACCATTTTTTTCATTTTTTAAATACATGATCTATTTCATCAGTTTAGCGCTGATGTCCTTTCACTGTGTGCTCTTGGTATCCTGGGCTCAATACTGTTGTGACACTTATCACTCTGGGCTTTCACTGCTTCCTGCTTCTAGATGAAGAGCCCCAGGAGGTCCAGGCCACTGTCTAACTGGTTTCTGTATCTATCCCCAGCACTGCACAGGGCCTGGCGTAAGACAGAAGCCTAAGAAAGGTTTGTTGAAGAAACAAGTACATGAATGATTAGAGTGGCTGAAAAACACATGAAAGAAATAGTTAAATTTGTGTGGAACTGTGGATTCCTGTTTTATGTTCCTATTCTTTCCTTCCATCCTCTCATTCCTTCCTTACATTTCACATCTTCCTCTAGAATTCCACTTTGTGCTACCAAGGGTAAAATAATCCTATGTCTCCTTCCTTTAAAACACACTTAAAAGTCGGAGCATCTGAGAACAGCCAGATCTGTGCATGTTTTTTTCAGATATGGAAACTATTCATTATTATGTGCTGTGTAAGCATGTGGTAAAATGACATTGAATGCATAGTAGGCGCTCAGGCAAACACTAAAAGTTTGAGTTGACATTATACATGTCTTTAATGCAATCTCAGAGTTCCTTTGATCTTTGTTGCCACATCTAACTGATTTTGTTTCTCCATTTTAGATTGTTTGTGTCAAGTCATTCATATTCACCCTTCAGCTCTAGAGGGGTAAAATGCTACTTGGTATGTTTTCTTTCAGTTATGACTAAAATAATTTCAAGGTGGCCCTTCAAAACGGATGTTTTGTGAAAAATGAAAAGTAAATCTGTGGTAAGAGCCAAATCCAAAAGCAAAACACATCTGTAATGATGTTTTTGCACATGTGAGTACTTGCTAATGTCAGATTTTTAAAAAAATGTTGCTTAAGTGGTGAGTATAAGAGGTTACACTACCGTCCTCGAAATTTACATTCCACGCACTGCAAATGCAGTGGAGCATCTTTTCAAGTGTTTATTGGTCATTCTTATTCCCTCTTTTGTAAAATGCCTGCTTGTGTTATTTTTTTCCAGGTATTTATGGGGTTGTTTGTCTTTTTCTTATTATTGACTTATAATCTTTTACACATCCTTGATATTAATTACTAATTCTTTGCTGTTACATGTGTTGCAATTATCTTCCCTCAGATTTGGACTGTCTCATCATCCCTTTCTTTATCATGTATTTTGAGGAAATAAATGAAAATTTTTAATGTAGCATAATCAGTCATTTATTTTATACTGTGTGCTTCTTCCAACTTGCTTTAAAAATTCTATCATATCCATAGTTTATACAGATATCATACTATATTTTCTCTGATCTGATTCCCACCACTGTAAGATTTGAATCCTCACCAATGCATGACCATTGGCGCCAAGGTGGGAATTGTTAGATATCCCAGGGGCAACTGCTATTATTTGTTGGCTTCTCCCACAAGATATTCACCTAAGTATTGGTGTTGGCCTCTGAGGATTTCTTGTCTTTCTTGCCAGCTTATCCATGCATTTAAAATGATTTTTTATTTTTTATTTTTTGGGACAGGGTCTTGCTCTGTCACCCAGGCTGGAGTGCAGTGGTGCAATCGCAGCTCACTGCAGCCTCAATCTCCCGGGCTCAAGCCATCCTTCCACGTCAGCCTACTCAGTAGCTGGGACTACAGGCACCCTCCACCACACCTGGTTAATTTTTGTATTGTTTAGTAGAGACGGGTTTTCATGTTGGCCAGGCTGCTCTTGGACTCCTGACCTCAAGTGATCCACTTGCCTTGGCCTCCCAAAGTGCTGGGATTATAGGTGTGAGCCATCGCGCCTGGCCAAAAAGGATTTAATTTTATTTTTTTCACCATGTTTTTGTATTTTGTACTAGAAGGCTTTTCAGAAATTTTAGTTTCCCGTATGACCAATAAGGGGAGCTCCTCTTTTTCAAACTTAGAAGTTCAATGTTTAGATTCAAATATATCTAATGTAAGAGTTTTTCTTGTACACAAGACCTGAGATATGATCAGGAAACATGACCCATTACCCTATCCCCAGATGACCTAAAGGGGGAAAAGGTGGGAGTGGTGTTCTGGTTCTGGGGTTCTTTGTGATTGTTTGGGAAAGGTGATGCAGAATTAAAATCTTTGCAGAACTATAATGCTAATAAACTCAGCATGTTACCTGCTGTGAATTTGTATGGTCTGCAGCAACCTCAATTCTTGCCTCTTCAGAAGAAAGAATTCGGCTGAGGGGCGTAAGGCAGAATGAGGCGAGTTTTAGAGCAGAAGTGAAAGTTTATTAGAAAGCTTTAGCGCAGGAATTAAAGGAAGTAAAGTACCCTTGGAAGAGGGCCAAGTGGGTGACTTGAGAGATCAAATGTGTGATTTGACCTTTGGTCTTGGGGTTTTATATGTTGGCATGCTTCTGGGGTCTTGTGTTTCTTCTCCCCTGGTTCTTCCCTTGAGGTGGGCTGTTTACATGTGCAGTGGCCTGCTAGCACTTGGGAGGGGAGCATGCACAGTGTGTTTACTGAAATCGTATGAATCCTCACTTGAGACATTCTTCCCTTACCAGTCAAATGTCCCTATAAGGTCATAATACCAGTTAAACTCCACCACTTTGCTTCTTAATGTGCATGCATTAGCCCACTTGCCCAACTCCTGAGATCTTATCAGGAGCTGCTGATCACCAGTTTCAGATGTCTCTGTTTATTGGGAGACTGCCTTTCCTTGACACTGGCTGTGAACAATAATTATTTTAGAGAGACAGTTTAATAACCATCTGATCATCACCTGATGGTGGCCTGACATTCATGGTGGGGAAGGTGTCCCTCTCCTGACCTGCTCTTGTCTGACTAGCTACCCTTTGTAACAGGCATTGTCTGCCACTGCACGAATGCTCATTTTTACATGAAACCTTTGAAATTGTAATGCCATTTTTTCTTTATAATAATGGCGGACATTTATTGAGCACTTACCATACACTAAGGTAAGTTCTTTGCATATATGAACAACCTATTCATTACAATAACTCTGCAAAATAGGTGCTTCCATTTTTTTCTACTTTACCAATAAAGAGGCACAGAGTTTAAGTAGCTTGCCCAAGTTCACAGAACTACCGAGTGGTACTGAATTTGAATCCAGTCAATCTGTTTCTGGAGTGACAGCTCATAAGGAGTATGCTATATGACCTCTATAGGAAATACTTATTTGTGCAAAAAAATAAGAATTTAATGTGTGTAAGATAATAATGCCCAAATATGACATATTGGTGCTGTGATGTCATTGTAGTTTTTTTCTAAGCATACATTTCCAAAAGTGTAGCCTACTTCTTATGTTTTTGGTATTTTTCTCTTTTATGTCTCTTTTTCAAATGATTAAATTCTTTGGAAAAGATAAGTGGAAAAAGTACGTTCATTGTTCAAATGAACGTTTTTCGTATAAATACCAAAATTTTCCTTGACTTTTTTGGTAATGGCTTGAGATATAATACAAGTATGATACAATTTACCCATCTAAATTAAATGTTTTTGGCATATTCACAGTTGTACATAACCATCACTGCAATCAGTTTTAGAACATTTTTTTACTCCTCTAAGCAACCCTATACCTTTTAACTATCATTTCCCAAGTTCCCTCATTCTCCTAACCCTAAGTAATCTCTAATCTACTGTCTTTTTCTCTATGTTTATTCTAGACATTTCATAGAAATGAAATAACACACTATTTGGTCTTTTGTATCTGGCTTATTTCACTTAGCATAGTTTTCAGGATACATGCATGTTGTAGGATGTATTAGTTCTTTATTTCTTTTTATTGCCAAATGATTTTCCACTGAATGGATATGCTACTTTTGTCTATCCATTCTTCAGTCAATGGATATTTGACTTATTTTCACCTTTTGGATTTTATGAGTAATGTGGCTAATAATATTTGTGTATAAGTTTTTGTGTAGACATACATTTTCATTTCTCTTTGGTGTATACCTAGAATTGCTGGGTCATATGGTAAATCTATGTGCAACTTTTTGAAGAGTTGCAAAACTCTTTTCCATAGGTGCTGAACCATTTTACATTTTACAGTAACATTTTACTTTTACATGTATAAGGGTTCCAATTTGTCCATGTACTAACCAACACTTGTTCTTGTCCATCTTTTTTATTATAGCTATCCTCTTGGGGGTGATGTGGTATCATTGTGGTTTTCATATACATTTTCATAATGACTAAATGGCGTTGAGCATCCTTGCATGTGCTCATGGACCACTTGTATCTCTTCTATGGAGATATGTCTCTTCAAATATTTTGCCCATTTTAACTCAATTATTTCTTTTTGTTATTGATTTGTAAGTGTTCTTTATATTCTAGATACGTGTCCCTTATCAGATATATGATTTGCAAATATATTCTCTTATTCTGTACACCATCTTTTCACTTCTTTAGTATCTTTTGAAGCACAAGTTTTAATTTTGATGAAGCCCAATTTATATAATTTTTAACATTTGTACTTTCGACGTAATGTATAAATAAGAAGGTTTTGCCAAATGCAAGGTCATATTTACTTCTATATTTTAATATTTCAATTGTTTTGACTGTTACATTTTGGTGTTTGATCCACTTTTAGTTAATTTTTATATATGACATATCTATGATATATGTGGATATTCTGTTATCTCATTACTGTTTCTTGAAAAGACTGTTCTTTTCCCAAATGAATTTATTTGTTCTTGTCAAAAGTCATTTGAGAGAGGCTTCATGATTGGCTGACTAGAAACATTTCATACTTGCCCCCCTCACTTAGAAAAAATGAATAGTGTGTAGACAATCACACATTTTGTATATATTATCCAAGAAAGAACACTGAACTTTAACAGAAGAGTGACAGAAAACACCAAAATCAAGGAAAGAGAAGCAGGAGAGGCAGTCTGCTTGGCTGGGATTGGCAGGGAACTGGGAGTGACTTCCCAATGCAGGGAAAGGTTAAGTGAAAGACTTTCAGTGGCTCACATCCTCACTATGTAATCATGCAATCCTAGCTATGAAGGAGGCTCTCTATCCTCTCCAACCCTGAAACAAACATAAGGATTTGCCAGGAGACCATGAGATGAACTGCTCCAGGGAAGGAACTAGCACTGGGACCCACACCTGTTCTGAGTCTTGAGTGGCTACATCAAGACAGCATTTGCAATCTTTGCCTTTAACAGACTGTCCCCTGTCCTGGGATCCAGCAGTGCTGGGACTGAGGTGTTATTGCTGCTAGAAACCAGGGAATCAGCCTGCTGGTAACTGCCAACATGCTGTCAGTGTACACTACCCTGGGGCACAAAGATAGGCATGCTCAGAGACTGGGGATGAGCTGGGAATGAACTTCTGCAGCTGGAGCTGAGAAGCAAGTGCATGGACTGCAGCTGCTAGTGCTAGAAAGCGAGGACCACTGGGACTGAGCTGGGACATCAGTGAAGCATGAGTTGTGGCTGTGACTGAGTCATGAACTAGGTAGGGGATCCTGTAGCTGGGGCTGAGGCACAAACTAAAAATGGGGTACCACTGCTAGAGCTGGGGAGTGTGCCCTACTGGGGTTGGAGTGTGAGAGGTACATGTGCTCACCACCCACCAGCTCAGATTGTGGCCACCAAAAGCCCCACGCTCTGCAGTGACAGGGCCTTAGCATGGCTGCTACCACTTTTCCCCCAAACACTGTCCAAAACCTGAAGATCACCCAGATCCTACCCACCACAGGTAGTGCCTGCTTTCACCATTGGAGGCCTGAGTACGAGCCTGCCCACACCCTCTGAGACAGAGCACATAGCCTGGAGGAATGAGGATTAAACAACCCAATCCACCATTTTGGGCACCTGAACCCTCCTCCTAGGGGCTGGAGGTAGGGTCTGAACTCCTGGCTACTACCACCTGAGCTGACACCTACCTACAAGTGCTACCTGCAGGCCTGTGACTGGCTTGGTCAGCATATTGCAGCCAACACCAACATCAATGCATACCACTTGGGCATGCTGGCTAATGCCTGTAATCCTAGTGCTTTGGGAGGCCAAGGCTGGAGGATCACTTGAACCCCAATGACTGGGACTAGCCTGAGCAACATAGTGAGACCCTATCTCTTACAAAAAATTAAAATAAGCCAAGCATGGTGGTACATGTCTGTAGTCCTATCTGGACAACAGAGCAGGAACCTGTCTAAAAAAGGCAGGGGGGAGGAAATCAAAATATTAATTTCAAAGAAGTTCAGTGAGATACAGGAGAATTCTGAAAAATAATACAAAGAAGTCAGAAAAACGATTCAGGGTACAAATGAAAAATTTACCAAAGAGACAGATATTTTAAAAGAGAACCAAATAGAAATTCTAGAACTCAAGAATTAGTTGAAAGAAATACAAAATACGTTTGAAAGCATCAACAATACACTAGATCAGGCAGAAGAAAGAATCATGGAACGTAAAGACAGGTCTTTCTTTTGAAATAACAGACAAAATAAAGAGATTGAGATAAAAAAAGAACTAGAAATTTTTTGGAACATTTGGGACAAAATAAAGCTACTGAATATATGAATTATCATTATCCTTGAGGGCAAAGAGAAAATGAAGGGATTAGCCAGGGATTAGGAATTATTTAAAGAAATAATAGAAGAAAACTTTCCAATTCTAGAAGAGATTTTAGGTATTCAGATGCAGGAGGCTCAGTGATCCCCAGGAAGATATAATGCAAAAGGACTTCTTCAGGGCACGTTATATTCTGACTTTCTTAAGTCAAAGATAAGGAGTAAATTCTAACCATAGCAAAAGAAAAATGTCTAGTCACGTGTAAAAGAAACTCCATCAGACTAACAGCAGATTTCTCGTAGAAACCTTAAAGGCCAGTAGAGAATGGGATGATCATGTAAAGTGCTGAAAGAAAAAAAAAATACTAGTCAAGAATACTATATCCAGAAAACTACCCTTCATAAATGAAGGACAAATATTTTATAGAAAAGCAAATGCTGAGGAAATTTGCTACCACCAGACTGGCCCTAAAAGAAATGCTCAAGGGAATCCTAAACCTGGATACACAAGTACTACATTCACTATCATAATTGAACTCATAGGCATAGAGAGTAGAAGGATGGTTACCAGAGGCTGTAAAGGGCATGGGGGATTGGGGGAGGGGGGATGATTAATGTGTACAAAAAAAGAAAGAATGAATAAGACCTATTTGTTAGCACAATAGGGTGACTACAGTCATAATAACTTCATTGTATATTGTTAAATAACTTAAAGAATGTAATTAGATTATTTGTAATAATAAGGATAAATGCTTGAGGGGACACATACCCCATTCTCTACAACGTACTTATTTCACATTGTATGCCTGTATCAAAATATCTCTTGTACCTGTGTGTGTATACACACATACACACACACACACACACACAGACACCCCTATGTACTCACAAAAATCAAATGAAAAAAGATTATAATACCCTTATAAAAACACATGAAAACACATAACTCACTGATTAAGCAAACACACAAAGGAGAAAGAGAAAGAACACAGATACTAATCTGAGGGGCAGAGCAAGATAGCAGAATAGAAGGCCCCACTAATCATACCCTTTGCAGGAACACGAAATTCAACAACTATATAAATAATAAAAGCACCGCATAAGAACCAAAAATCAGATGAGCACTCATAGTACCTGGTTTACACTTCATATTACTGAAAGAGGCACTGAAGAGGGTAGGAAAGACAGTTTGAATTGCAAATGCTATCCCTCCCCCATTGCTCTGCAGTAGCCACATCTCTGCAGTATGGAGTAATCTGTAAACTTGGGAGAGGGAGAGCACAGAAATTGTGAGACTTTGCATTGAACTCAGTGCTGCCCTAGTCACAGTGGAAAGTAAAACTGGGCTGAACTCAGCTGATGCCCACCCACAAAGGGAGTAGTCAGGCCAGCTTCAGCCAGAGGGGAATAACCCATCCCAGCAGTAGGAACTTGAGTTCCAGCAAGCTCGCCACCATGGGGTGAAGTACTCTGGGACCCTCAATAACCTTGAAAGGCAGTCTAGTTCACAAGGACTGCAAGTCCTAGTGCAGAGTTGGGTTCAGAGCCAGTGGACTTGGGGAACACATGACTTTACTGAGACACCAGCCAGGGAAGCTAAGGGAGTACTTGTGCTACCTCTCCCATAACCCCAGGCAACACAGCTTGCAGCTCCAAAAGAGACCTCTTCCTTCCACTTGAGGAAAGGAGAGGAAAGAGTAAAGATGAATTTTGTCTTGTATCTTGGATAACAGGTCAGCCACAGAAGCATAGGGCAGCAATCAGAGTCATAAGGCCCCCATTCCAGGCCCTAGCTCCCATATGGCATTTCTAGGCACACCTTGGGCCATAAGGGAAACTACTGCCTTGAAGGGGAAAAGCCTATCCAGGCAGGATCCATCACTTCCTGACTAAAGAGACCTTGGGCCCTGAATAACCAGTTGTGATACCCAGAGACCTTGGGCTCTGAATAACCAGTTGTGATACCCAGGTAGTATGCCAGGGGCCTTGGGTGAAACTCTGACATGTGATGGCTTCAAGTGAGACCCAACCCATTTGCAGCTGTGGTGGCTATGTGGAGAGATTCCTGCTTGAGAAAAGTAGAGGGAAAAGTAAAGGGGGCTTTACTGCCTTGGACTTTTACCAGCTCAGCCACAGTGGGATAGAGCACCAAGAGGGCTCATATGGTCCCCGATTCCAGGCCTTGCCTCTGGGAGGGCATTTCTGGACATGCCTTGGGCCAGAGGGGAACCCGCTTCCCTGAAGGGTGATTCCCAGGCGTGGCAACATTCACCCGCGGCTAATTAAAGATCCCTTGGGCCTTAAGTGAATGGAAGGACAGAAGCCTGGATGGCTTCACCTTACCAGTAAAGAAACAGGTAGACACAATGTAAATAAAGGAAGGGAAAAAATATATTCCATTCAATTGGAAACCAAAGGTAACCAGGAATAGCTGTGCATATATCAGATAAAGCAGATTTTATGTCGAAAACAGTAAAAAGAAAAAAATAAGGCTGGGCACAGTGGCTCACACCTATAATCCTAGCACATTGTGGGTCTGAGGTGGGTGGGTCACTTGAGGTCAGGAGTTTGAGACCACGCTGGCCAACATGGCGAAACCATGTCTCTATGAAAAATACAAAAATTAGCCAGGTGTGAGGGTTCACCCCTGCAGTCTCAGCTACGTGGGAAGCTGAGGCAGGAAAATTGCTTGAACCTGTGAGGTGGAGGTTGCAGTGATCTGAGATCATGCCACTGCACTCCGGCCTGGGTGCCAGAGAGAGACTCTGTCTCAAAAACAAAGAAACAAACAAAAAAAATCCAAAACACATAAACCAACCAAAAAAACAGTTAAAAAAAAAAAAAAAAGAGAAAGAGAAACGAGGTCATTATATAATAATTAATGGATCAATCCAGTAATTTGATATAACAATTCGAAATATTTATATACCCAACACTAAAGTACCCAGAACCATAAAGGCAATATTACTAGATCTAAAGAGAGATATAGACTACAATATGATAATAGTGGGGCATTCAATACCCCACTCTCAGTATTAGATGGATCACCTAGCCAGAAAACCAACAAAAAAACATTGGATTTACACTGTACATTAGTGGGAGCTAAATGAAATGAACACAAAGAAGGAAACAACAGACATTGGAGTCAACGTGAGGGGGAGGGTGGGAAGAGGAAGAGGAGCCAAAAAAAAAAATAGCTATTGGCTATTGGGCTTAAAACTTGGGTGATTAAATAGTATGAACAACAACCCCCTGCAACACATGTTTATTTCTATAACAAACCTTCACATGTACCTCAAACCCTAAAATAAAAGTAAAAAAAATAATAATGTATACATTAGGCTCAGTGGACCTAACAGGCATTTATAGAAAATTCTGTTCAATAACTGCAGCATATATATTTTTTACATCTGCACATGGAACATTCTTCAGGATAGACCATGTTATGCCACAAAAGAAGTATCAACAAATTTAACAAATGTTAAAATCATATCCCATATCACAATGGGATAAAACTAGAAGTCAATACCAAGAGGAGTTTTGGAAACCATACAAATACATCAAATTAAACAACATGCTCTTGAGTGACCATTGGGCTAATAAAAACCTTAAAATGGAAATAAAATTACTGGGTCAAATGAAAGTTGAAACACAACATACCAACACTTGTGGGAGACAGCAAAAGCAGTGTTAAGAGGGAAGTTTATAGCAATAAATGTCTACATCAAAAAAGTAGAAAGACTGCAAACTAACAATCTAACAATGCACCTCAAGGAAATAAAAAAGGAAGAGCAAATCAAACCCCAAATTAGCAGAAGAAATGACACAGATTATAGCAGAACTAAAGAAAAGAGAGACTAAAAAAAAAGATCAAGAAAAATGTTGGTTCCTCAAAAAGATAAACAAAATTAATAAACAGCCAGCTAGACTAATGAAGAGAGAAGACCCAAATTAAAAAAAATAGATCAGAAATGAAAAGGAGACATTACAACTGACACCACAGAAATACAAAAGCTTATCAGGGACTATTATGCACAACTATATGCTGACAAACTGGAAAACCAAGAGTAAATTGGATAAATTCCTGGAAACATATAACTTACCAAGATTGAATCAGGAAAAAATAGAAAATCTGAATAGACAAATAATGAGTAGTGAGATTGAATCAGTAATAAAAAGTCTCCTAAAAAAGAAAAGCCCAGGACTGGATAAATTCACATAAATTCACAACCAAATTTTACCAAATGTACAAATAACTAATAACCATCCTATTCAAACTATTTTGAAAATTCAAAGAAGTGGAAATTCTCCCTAATTTGTTGTATAAGTCTAACATCACCCTGATATCAAACCAACAAAGATAGAAAAAAGAAAACTACAGGCGAATATCATCAATGAACATAGATGCAAAAACCCTCAAAAACATACAAGCAAGCTGAATCTCACAGCACATCAAAAATATAAGATACTATGATCAACTGAGATTTACACCAGAAATGCAAGAATGGTTTAACATGCACAAATCAATAAACATGATACATCATATCCACAGGTTGAAGGACGTTAACCATACAATCATCACAATAGAGGCATAAAACTCATTTGATAAAATTTAACATTTATTCATGATAAAAACACTCAACAAATGTGGTGTATATACTCCAACATAATAAAGATCATATATGACAAACCCACAGCTAACATCATACTAAATGGGGAAGAGTTGAAAGACTTTCCAAGAACTGGAACAGGTCAAGGATGCCTACTTTTACCATTCCTGTTTAACATAGTAATGAAAGTCCTAGCCAAGCAATCAGGCAAGAGAAAGAAAGAAAAGACTTCCAAACTGGAAAAGAGGAAGACAAATTGTCCCTCTTTGCTGATGATATCATTTTATATCTAACAGAACCTAAAGACTCCACCAAAAAATGCTTAGATTTGATAAAGGAATTCAGTAACATAGCACAATACAAAGTCATACAAAAATCAGTAGCATTTATATACACCAATGATGATCTATCTGAGAATGAAAAAAGGGAAATCGTATTTTCAATACCTACAAAAATAGGAATAAATTCAATCAAAGAGGTAAAAGATCTCCACATGTAATGCTATAAAACACTGATGAAAAAAATGGAAGATGATGTAGACCAATGAAAAAACATCCAATGTTCATAAAACAAAAGAACTAATATCATTAAAATAACCATATTGCCCAAAGCAATCTATAGATTCAACATAGCCCCTATCAAAATGTCAATGTCATTCATCACAGAATTAGAGAAAACAATTCTAAAATTCATATGGAACCAAAAGAGAGACCAAATATCCATGACAATTCTGAGCAAAAAGAACAAATCTATAGTCATCTCATTACCTGGCTTTAAAATGTATTACCAAGCCATAGTAAACAAAAACAGCATAGTACTGGTATAAACATAGACACATATACAAATGGAACAAAATAGAGAACCCAGAAATAATGTCTCATATTTATAGACAACTGGTCTTTGACAAAGCTGACAAGAACTTACATTGGTGAAAGGATACCTTCTTTGATAAATGGTGCTGGGAAATTGAATAGTTACATGCAGAAGAATGAAGCTAGACCCCTATCTTTCACCATATGTAAACAGTAACCCAAGATGAATTAAAGATGTAAACGTAAGACCTAAATCTAGAAAAATCCTAGAAGAAAACATAGGGAAAACTCTCCTGGACATTGGTTCAGACACAGAATTTATGACTAAGACCTGAAAAACACAGGCAGCAAAAATAAAAATGTTTACTTTTATTTTGAGGATTTAATTTAAATGGGATGTAAGTAAACAAAAAGCTTCTGCACAGCAAAAGAAATAATTAATAGAATGAAGAGAAAAATCTGTTGAAAGAGAAAATATTTGCAAACTCTTCATCTGACAGGGAACTAATATTCAGAATCTACAAGGAACTCAAACAATTCAACAGGACAAAAAGCCCAAATCCCATTAAAAAGTGGGCAGAGGATATTAATAGACAGTTTTCAAACAAGACATATAGGTATATAAAAAATGCTCAACATCACTAATCATCAAAGAAATGCAGACCAAACCTCAAGGAGATACCATTTTACCCCAGTCAGAATGACAATTATTAAAAAGACAAAAAATAATAATAACACGTTAGCAAGGATGCAGAAGAAAGGGAATTTTGTGTGTGTGTGTGTGTGTGTGTGTGAGCAACATGGCTGTTTATTTACCTGGGTGCAGGCGGGCTGAGGCCAAAAAGGGCATCAGTGGAGGGTGGAGGGATAGGAGTTGATTATATAGGTTTGGGGTAAAGAGTGGAAAGTTATAGAAGTTACAGTTGATGGTTTTGCAAGCTGGGAGGGGGCTGTAGGTTTGCAAGCTAGGGTGTGGAGTCACAAGGTTGGCCAAGCTGGGAGGGGGTCAAAGAGTGTGGAGTCGTTAGGTTGGCCAGGGTTGATTACAATGTCCAATGGCCTTGTCAATTGAAGCAGGAATAAGGAACAATCGAAGAAATGTCTCAAGTTAGGCACCACAGGTGTTGATCGTTTCTTCCAGGAACTCATCTGGGGTGTACATGCAGGTCACAGAGATTACTATGCCATTCATGGTGCGGTCAGATTTTACATTCCTGTCTTTTTATATTAGTAATATAAAGGAAAAAGGAATGAAGAGTGGAGGGCAGTGGGATATTAGGAGGGAACTCTTATATACTGCGGGTGGGAGTGTAAACTAGTACAGTCAGTATGGAAAACACCATGGAGATTTCTCAAAAAACGAAAAATAGAATTACCATTTGATCCAGCAATTCTGCTACTGGGTATCTATCCAAAGGAAAATAGATCAGTATATGAAAGGGATACTTGCACTCATATGTTTATTGCAGCACTATTAACAATAGAAAAATATGGAATCAACCTAAGTGTCCATCAATGGATGAATGGATAAAGAAAATGTGGCATATATACACAATGGAATATTTGGTCATAAAAAATGAAATCATGTCATTTGCAGCAGCATAGATGAAACTGTAGGTCATTATTTTAAGTGAAATAAACCAGGCTTAAAGGTAAATATTGCAGGTTGTTACTTACATGTGAGAGCTAAAAAATTCATCACATGGAGGTAGACCATGAAAAGACAGATAACAGAGACTGAAAGGGTGAATCTGGGGAAGGCGGAGGATGAAGAGAAGTGGGTTAAAGTGTACATACAATTAGAAGGAATAAATTCAATGTTTCATGGTAGAGTAGGGTAACTATAGTTAACGGAAATGTATTGTACTTGGGTACCCAAGACACCTTAAATACCATCTTCATCCCTACACATTATATAGAAGTAACAAAAATTTACATGTACCCCCATTAAATTGTACAAAAAAATCAATTGACCCTCAATATATGGTCTGATTTTTTTGGACTCTCTATTCCATTCCACTGATCTTTATGTCCATCCTTATGCCAGTACCACACTTTTTTGTTTATTGTAGCTTTGTACTAAGTTTTGAAATTGGGAAGTGTGAGTTCTCTAACTTTGGCCTTTTGTTTCAAGACTGTTTGGGTTAATTTGCCTCCCTTGCATTTCCATATGAGTTTTAGGTTCCATCTGTTAATTTCTGTAAGAAAGAAGCGAGCTAAAATTTTGATAGGGGTTCTTTTCAATTTGTATATCAATTTAGGGAGTATTGCTACTTTAATAATAGTATCTTCCAAGATATGAACATGGATTGGCTTTTGATTTCTTAGATATTTAATTTCTTTCAATAATATTTTATAGTCTCAAGAGTATAAGTTTTGCATTTATGCTTTGTACGATAGAAATAAAATTGATTTTTGTATCTTGACCTTGTATCCTGCACCCTTGCTGAATTTGTTAGTTGTAACAGTTTTTTTTTTGTGTGTGTGTGTCTATCTGTGTGTGAATTCTTTAGTGTTTTTTATATGCAAGATCATATCATTTATAAATAAAGATAGTTTTACTTTTTCCTTTGGGAAAGTGACTATGAGCAATGGGTTCCCCAAGACTATCCCAGGTAAGATGATTTATGAGGTAGACTCATATGACTTGAATATAGTTGAACTCCTGGCTAATATTATTACAACAAATATATTTATATACATATGTATCATACGTATGTCAGCTGCAAAGAGACTGGAATTTATCTTTTCAATTTGCTTTTTTTATAGTTGTATTTGCTTGGTTCTAAGGTACTTAATATAGGGTTTTGGACAGAAAAATGAAAAACTGAATCAAATATAATGATGCCATTCAGATTTAAGACACATCCAGATTTCAGAAATGTTAACAATTGAATAGAATAGTACTTAGCATCTTAGAATAGTATTCAGGTCAATTTTGTTTGGAGTTTTATAACTGATTAGAGAGAGCCTTCCTCTTACATTTCCTTTATCCTTCTCCTTCCCACACATTTTGTTGTATACATGCTTGTACAAAATCTGAGTCATAGGGAACCTTCAGTGAATTCCCTGAGGTTATATCAAAAGTTGGTAGCTAATTCACTATAGAAACCACCAGTTCCTACATCCTTGCCATTGTGTTGCAGGGGTTGACTGCCTGTACAACACCTTTGTGTTAAGTCAGTGATGCTGAATCAGATGCTTCAGAGCTTCTTCAAAAGAAGCTGCCTGTTTTCCTTCCCTGGCAGCATGCAAGATCCTGTACTTTTTGCTTCTGGTCTTGCTTTCTAGCTTTAATTAGACCATCCTATCTCTATACTCAAACCATATCAGTGCCTATCCAGTCCCTGATTCTTTCACTTACTCCAATATTGATGCCTTGTTTCTTTCACCATGTATTTGAATCCTAATCAATTTTGAAGACCAATCTTACATGTCTCATCATCTATTAAACCTTCCCTTTTCTCCCATCCTCATTTCTCCTCTCTCCATACTTTATATTGCATATTTCTATTCTAGTGTGTACTATACTGCCTTATATTATGGCCAGTAGTTTATAAATATTTGTATCTTCTCTTAATTTTTATGCTGTATGAGGTGAGGAACTCTGTTTATATTCCCATGGGCCATAGCACCTCGCAGAGAGGGGCAAACAAGAACCCAGTGGATATTTGGTGAATTGAATTACACAATAGATTGGAAGGAGGCTCCAGTAGGTGTTAGCAGGAAAAGGATTTAGTATGAAATCTTGATTTTATTTTGTTAGCACAGAATTATGCATGTCTTTTATATTGTACCTTTATTGCAGAACAAAGCACTGCATAGATTATTCTACTGTGGTCCAATGGGGAATTCATTTTGTGATAATTTCAGAATTACTCTTTTATTTGTTTCACCTTTTAAAGCATAACATTTGTCAAGACAACACTTCAATTTGTTGCATGTGCTAAGTCATTACTATTTACAGATAGTATAGAGTATCTGAGGTTCAGATTGAAAGGGAAAAAATATACACATAGAATCCCATCTGCCTTGCACAGGATTTAGGACTCAAAACCTAATTTTATCTGTTCTGCACATCAGAAATAGGGAACTTTTAAAGAAATCATTGCTAAAAGTAAGCATCATTGTTGAGAATTTCAGGGTGTAAAAATAATGGGGTTTCTTGCGAAAGAGTTTATATAAACATTGTCGACATGGTTTGGGATGAAACCTATCCTTGAAGAAAATGGGAGGTTATGGAGTCATATCTAGTTAGTAATTTGCATTAGTAAATTGAGTATAGCCTTCTGAGTACAGATTTTAGATGACCTCTCTGAAGTTTAGGGAACTAGATAGATGACATGGTAAAAGCTTTTCTAAATCCCCTACTAGATTCTACTTTGCCTGTAAACAGTGCCTGGCATCTGGCACCTGGCATTTGTTCAATGTGAGTCTTTCAAATGAATAAGGACA